GTGTTTCACAAAATATATACCAATTCATATCACCATTTACTGATGAAAATACAACTAAATCAGCACATTGAACGAAACGGAGAAGTTCATTTGATTCATGACAATCAAGCGAAGCAAGATAGATGTAATGAATTGATGATGACGGTGACCACTGACACATATGTTCATCGACATAGTTTGACATACCTGGTCGTCCATCAGCACGCACACGACATTCATTGTCTAAATTACAAAGAATAACATAACAGCAAATGTTTTATAGAAAAAAAAAATTAAATTGCTCACTATACGGGTAAAGCTTTTCACTATTTTGAACAGTAATATCTGTAGAATATAAACGATGACCGTTAACTAAAAATGTTGCCATATCATGATATATCGGTCTAACTTCAGAATCACCAGCAAAAACAACACGTTTACCATCAAAAATTCGTCGAACATCAGATATTAACAAAGGATCTGTATTTGCAGCAGCGATACTTGATATAGATAACGATGAAGAAGGATATACATATGAATTACCGAAGAATTGTTGTACAGTAATATATTGAAACGACATATTATATACTGAAGAACAAATAGAAAAAATAATAATCGATAGTGAACACATGGTTCTTATATATTGTTAATGTTCTTTTTTTTTTCTTTTCTTTCTTTCTCTATGTTGATTATAATCACGTGCGTAAAAGGAATATCGAACTTCTTTTTTTTTAAAGAATGTATAAAATTTTCACGACTTTGTAGAAAAAGAAGTTCTTGAGAGCAATTTCTGGCAATAAATTAAAGCAAGATCTTCAGTTTTATAAGATAAATGATTAATATACCTTTAATATCAGTAATATAAATTCCGTTGCATATTTTTCTGACCGTAGAATACATGAGTCTGAGAAAAAGATTTTTAGATATCTCAATTTCTTTCTTAAGTAACATTTACATATCTTGAAAATACTGAATTTTGTTTTATAATACAAAAATTTATCAAAGTGTTCAAAGAAAATGATGATTAAACAGATGAGTATGTGTCGCCATCTGTTTTCTATCCCTTTCATTATTTGTAATTTATAAAATCCTTTGTTTACTCCTTTCTCACTTATGTTGTGTATCGTCGCATTTTCAGGATCTTCAAACTGTTCAGGAAAAATCGATCGTTCTCTTAAAAATATTTCTCACACATTCATCATCATCATCAAACAAATACTCAACATCATGTAGCTATGTGTTCTTCCCATATGAGCTTTTATAATCTAAAAAATTCTATTTCTAGATCTGATATTTGAATCCAAAAAATGGATGATGATGATGCTATTGAAAAATACGTTCAAAATATAGTTGATACAAAAGAAACAAGTTTAAATTGAAGTAATCGTTCATTACGTGATGTTCTATTATCTGTTAGTTTCTGTTCATTCCTTCAAAATCTTTATTTTAATAATAATCAACTTATTTATTCCCTCAAATGAACAATTATCATCATTAATTAATATAGAAAATTCTTTCATTAAAACAAAATCAATTAACAATTTTACCAAATACATTATGGAATGTAATATCTTTAACACGTTTAAATCTCACGAGAAAACATACTTGAGTATTCCCTTGAGATCGAGTTTAAAAATATTCTATCTTGTAGAAACCTTGATGAATATCTCTCATATCAATATCTTAGTTGTCCCCGTTTAGATCTGAAGAAAAGAGAAGATAAAACTTTTTTATTGTAAGTTACAGCCAGCCATAAAACAGCTATCGTCGTCGAAGGAAAAGCAAATATCTCGAACATTTTCGAATATTCCGGAATCTTGATTGGTACATCCACACGAGTACCAGGCATGCTTAATCATTGGAGGAGAGAGCGTAACTTCAAAATATGAGGTCTCGATAGTAGGTCAACTTTAAGTTGATCGATTGTTACATGGTTAAAACACATTTGATAGAGATATTTCCATTGTCGGAAAAAAAATACTTGTCGCAGGATTGACTGTCTGCCGTTGTTTTATGCAGTATCTGCGAAACTTCATATTCAATGTTCTCGTCGAATATTTCATCCAAATTTTGCAGAATCGGTTTGTTCAGACCAGGAATCCAAAAACAATGTGTAGTTTTCATCCACAGATGATTGTAAAACTGCTTTTGCCCAATACTGAATATGAGATTCCGTCAGTTTTCCTGATTTACTACATGTGATATGAATGTTTCGAGCTTTGTTCATTGTCTGTGATACTCGTGATCCTAGTTTTCCTGAAGATCCCTGTAAACAGACAAAAACTGGCCCAACAATTTTGTCAGCCAGGCTCAGAATAGACATTATTGTATACGAGTTTGTGATGGCCCTATGCGAGATGCCGTGACCTAAAGTTGACTTTTCACTCACATGGGAAAGTGTACATGTGCAAAGTTTTTCATGATTGAAAGCACTTTGGTCGGCATTGAAAATATGTGTACTTTCAAATTGAGAAATGGTCTGTTTAGCCTTTTGTAGAAATATTGCGTCTTCTTCGACTAGGATACGAGAGTGAGGAAGAGGATATGTGAGGGCGAAGCGAAGACCCTAACCCACACTCTAGTACTTTCTTCGACTGATGTTGTAGCACACTACTCAACTCTGAAGTTGTTCTACATGCTACGACTTATATATCCCATGTACACTTACTATACATAGGGCCGAATTAGTGGAAAAAATAATACGTTGACGAAAACTATTATACAGTTAGATAGTTGAACTAATTCTCTATCTAAACATAAATAATTAATGAATCGTTTTCTTATAATTTTCAAATAGAACGGATTCGCCAGCTAATCCATTCCTGCCCTTTGTATTTAACAGAACAGACACGACACTAGAGCTCATCGGATTGGTCTCGCACTCGATCTGGTAGATCGCATTCGAAAATTAACAACCAATTATGACTTGATGATTGTCAAACAATCGTCCAGATTTTCTGAAACATTTGTAGAATGTATTAGTAGCAAAATATGAATAATCGATAAAATATTTCGTTGAAATCAAAAGTGAGTTTAAATTTTTGATGCCTGTTGATTGTTTTACTTCATCCAACAAAATAAGTGATGGACTAATGACTTAAAAAACACCTGAGTTGCACAGCTTTGTATATGACAAAGTTACCATCTAAAATTTGACTTCTATTATCAACGAAATAAGTTAAATGTCATTATATAATTATGATTCAATTATATTATTTACCATTTCGAAATAGAAAAGCAGACCAAGTTTTCAAGTTCGCTTTTAAACGATAGGTTTTTGTTTTACTTTAAATAAGAAAAAAAAAACAAAGCAACTGTCTGATAGAAGACATGGACAGGCGGAAGTAAGGTTAATAATAATAGTAGAAAAGAAAAGAAAAGAAAAGAAAAGAAAAGAAAAACAGAAAACAATCACTGCTTCTGCATGTTCACCATGAGAAAACAAATAAACATTGCTCAAGACAAAAATAAAGCATAGTTAAGCAAGTAGAAATGGTCACACTAAAGAAAAAAAAATCAATATACAAATATACAAAGAACGCAAAAATAAATAAATAAATATATATATATGCGAATTGTTTTTTTTCTCTTTTGTATATTTCACGAACATGTCAGATCACAATTAATGACAAAAAATAACAATGCACAACTGTTTCTTGTTTTAGTTTCGAAGGAAAAAAACAATAAGAAAATGAATGAGCGCATAAAACACACATACACACAAGGAAAAAAATTCGAATGAGAGATTTTCTTCATTTTTTTTTTTTCTTAATTCAATATAATACGAAGAATAAATAAAAGATCACGTATGATATGCTAATATGGCTAAAAATAAAGAAAAGATGAAAGTTCAAAATCATACAAATTTAATAAAAGCATGGTATAATTTTAATAATGTTTCCATATGAATCGGTAAACAACTAGCACGTTCATTAGTTTTAGCATCTATTAATAACCACGACAAACGATTATAAGATTCAAGGACATGTCTAAAAATAAATAATTCTAGAGACAAAAAGAAAAACATAGAACAGAACTTTTATACCTAAGTACAACATATGTATAATTTGAATCAAGTGGATGAATGGATTTTTGATCATGACTTTGAGCAAATAACATATCATCTGAATGTTGAGCATTAGGTACACTAACATGTAATGTTGCTTTAAATACACTTGATGTATTATTTAATCGTTGATTTGATTTTCCTTGTAACATCCATATTGGTAAAGAATTTAATGTACCTATTGTTGAAACATAAAAACCAAGTGCAAGTGGTTGTTGATGTAATGATGGTATATCATTTAAATCAACTTCAGAATCTAAATGAAGTAATGAATTTGATTTTATATTTGAATTATGTAAAGAATTTCCATATAGATCATTTCCATTATAATTATGTTGTGATATAGATAAACTATTTAAACGACTCATAGGTCCATTTGGATTTCCATTATGATTTATATCAAGTACACCAGTAGGTGGAAATTCTAAATCTGGTGGTGGTGATTGCATAGGACCAAATGGATCAGTATCAAATCCTTCAAATATTGAATTAAATAAATCATCTTCATTATAGATTGGTGATTGACGAGGATCATTTGGCCGAGGAATGGCTTGTACATGCTATATGACAAAAATAAAACAAATTCGTAATGAAAAAAATGTTTTATTATAATAAATATTGTAAACTTTCTATTGAATTGCCTTTTTATGATATAAAAAATATAGTAAATTTAAATTATCTAACCTGTACAGATGCTGATGTTGGTAATGTAAGAATATGTGTTACTGAAACATCACTTAAAACTTGTCCACTATTTTGCATTGTTGTTGTATTATTATTTGATGGTTGTGTTCCACGCATTTCTCCAAGTTCAAGTGATTCTGGTAGAATAGTTAATAATGGATGTGTTTCCATAGATATTAAACATGCTGATAATATAACTGGATGATCATGACTACGTAAAATATGACACATTGAACATGATTCACGTATTAATGTAGCACAACGGACAAGATTCTTTTTTGATAATATTACTCCCCAATCTAAACAATAATAAAAATAGAAATTTTCATAGTCTTTTTTTTTGTTTTTGTTTTTGATTTAATTATACTTTTTAATTCTCCATGACCAAGTCTTCCTAATCGTCCAATAACAATTCTCCATGGCATTGTTGTACCTGTAACAATACGCATTATAAAATCCCATAATTTTTGTAAACCAATTCGTCGAGCATGTTGAATTTTTCTTTTATGTCTAAAGTAGATAATGAAAGTTTTAAAAAAATTTTGTTTTGTGAACATTTTTCTCTCAGCATGGATTAAAAATCTGAAATATAAATTTTTGTCTCAAGTTTAGTCATTTGAATTTTTATCACACAAAATATTTTTTGTGTAATAGATAAAAGTTTAAGCAGACTATTAAAAAGAGCATTGAAAACTGTATGTCGCTTTTAAACGATTCAATTCCACAGCGTAACTTCAAAGCTTAGGTTTTAATGTATTTTATAGAGCAGACGTTTTTACTTGCAAATACAATCGAGTTGTCTTCTATGTATTCAATTGGTACAATGCTTT